ACAGTCTTCCAAAGTGCGGAGAGGTTTCCGTTATGTGGATTGGAGCTTCAAGGGGGTTGTGCAAACTTGGTTTGGGCTTCATGGAAAAGAGGGTGTAAGGCAGGGTCCAAAAGGACATGAGAAGGCAACTGTGAGAAACCCCTTTCCTTTTGATCCACTCTGTGAATCAATTTACTGGGACAGCCAGAAATGGGCAGGAAACCAAAATGCTCCCCAAATAATCAAGACGGAGTTGTGGATCTACCTGGGCTTCCTTGTCCAGAACGCTGACCATTTCTGGAGGGTCTTGCTTGGAGCGACCCCAACTCCCCCTTGTCCTCCTCTCCCAGCCCCCCAACCCCAGCTTCTCCTGTCTGGCAGGAAGGGGGTGAAGCCCTTTGGGGCTGGCAATTGGGACGGCTGGCCAGCCAGGCTGGTAAGCAGAGATTTCCCCATAATGGGGGCTGATCTATTGGCGTCTCCCGCTGTATCTTTCCCGGAGGCTCCAGGGAGGTTTTGCAAACGGGCCTCCTGATTTAAAGAATTCGAAGCCTTTGCCGGTATCGATCCGGAGCTTATCTGGCCCTTTAGCTAGAGGCGGCTCTTCTACCCAGATGTAACTTAAAGCAAGGCAGAGAGGTATATCAACCCCCTTGCTGGCATTAATGAGGGCTGGCAAATGCATTATTTAGAGGGGGAAAAGCCACAGCAGCCTCCCCTGGCGATCACCGAGAGACGGGTAGGGACGTGGCTGGGCTGGGGGCCGGTCTGGCCCAGGCACAGCAGCCCCCCCCCGTGCAGGAAATGCATCTGGGGTCCAAGAGTTGGAGGCTTCTAGAGAAATCTGGGGGTGTTTTATGCTTCTTTTTTTAAAAAAAAAACTCCAGAAATACTTATTTCCAACCCAACCAAACTAAAAACTACTCTACCCGACTCTATAGTCTCTTCCCCAAACCCCAAAAACTTTAACCTTAGACTGTCTACTATTGACCTCACCCCTTTCCTAAGAGGTCTGTAGGGGGCGTGCATAAGCGCACCATCGTGCCTACCGTCCCTGTCCTATTGTTTCTCTTATTATTTTATTTTTCTTATATGTACCCATTTCATGTATTCACAACTATGTATACATTTATACTTATTATCTTGTAAACAATTGGCAAATCAAATAAATAAAATAAAATAAATAAATAAAATAAAAGTGAAGCCTTTGGGCAAGATTTCTGGGGAAAATGGAGCCAACTTTCACAGAAAAGGAATTCCATGCTAAGCACTTTGTTCCAAAAGATTTTTTGGAATCGTATTACACCCTGAGCTCTGGAAATAATGCAGAGAGTGACTTTTTAATATTCTTCCTGAAAAATCTCCACAAGATATTCAGTTCAGGTAAGTGTTTTTAACAGGTAGAAGTAGGTGGAGATAAATAGGTTCCCATTTTAAGTAGAATTGATGATCTCAGACTAATGCGCAGACTAGAACATAAGATTAATGTGCTTTTTGCAAATACATGAACTATGCAAAAGAACTGGATCAAAAATAAGTTTTATGGCCACACGTGTGTAAATATTTTGCTCAGGTAATCTTCTAGATGTTAAAATATGGGTGGTATGACACATTTACAAAAATTCATTTATTGATTAAAAATGCAGGCCAGGGGAACACAAATGGTTGTGTCTATGAAAATTGCATAGCATTTATAGACTGAAAAAGGTGTTTAGAAACTGAAGTAGACACACACACACACACGGCATCCAGTAAAAGAATGTTAAAAAGAAGGCTGTATCTATTCTGTAAAGAGGCCATTTTTATTCCAAAGGTATTGTTGAATTTGTTTCCCTGACGTGAAGAATCACTGCCACAAATCACACTTCAGTTAATGGAGCACAGACTTCAGTGGTGGGGTTTCTAATTGTGCCTGGAGCTCCTGCACTTTAGCAAAACGCAACCCTCTGCAAAACAAGCCAGAAGGTTAGCCACATTAAGGGCACATAGCCAGGGAAATGTTGCCCAAGCATCTTGAAAAAACGGAATTTGGGGTTGATACGCTCCAGGTGACATCAAGGAAGACACCCTGGTTGACATTGGCAGTGGCCCATCCATCTACCACTTCCTCTTCGCCTGCGAGTCCTTCCGGGAGATCATAGCCACCGACTGCACGGACCAGAACCGGGAGGAGATGCAGCGATGGCTGAGGAAGGAGCTGGGGGCTTTTGACTGGACCCCCATCATGAAATATGTCTGTGAGCTGGAGGGAGATGGGTATGGAGAAAGAAGCCACATTGGCCACCTAGCTACCCTTCACATAACAACTTCCCTACTTCTTCTTTGTTTGTTTGTTTGTTTTGTCCTGCTTTCTAGAAGGGCTCATATAATTTACAGGCCGGAGGAAAGAAAAGCCTTTGCATATATTGAATAAAATAGTACAGTTCACACATAAACCAGCGAAGCCCAAAATAAGCAAATGGGATTTCCCATGGAAACCACAGGAGGCCCCTAAAACAGTCAACTGACCAGATGTCTCACCCCAGGCCAATGATGGTCAAACACATCAAGAGTGCACCTCCTTAAGGAAGGTCATATTAACCTAATGTAATAATGGGTGTTTGTTCTCGAACCAATTCTCCCAATGAAGGTTTGGGGAGAAGGGTTGTTGACCTCATGTTGTGTCTTCCCACAGGGAAAAATGGCCAGAGAAGGAAGAGAAAGTCCGAAGAGCCATCAAACAAGTCTTAAAATGCGACGTGACCAAACTGAAGCCTTTGGCTCCGGTGGTTCTTCCTCCTGCAGATTGTTTGATGTCTTCTCTGTGCTTGGAAACGGCTTGCAAAGACTTTCCCAGCTACCAATCTACCCTGAAGCACATCAGCTCCCTGGTAAAACCAGGAGGGCATTTCATCTTATCCATTGTCCTTGAGGAAAACTTCTACATCGTTGGGTGCCATACGTTCTCCAACCTCTACTTAGAGAGACAGGTGGTGGAAGAGGCCGTGAGAGAGGCTGGCTTTGTTATTATTTGGGTTGAAGAGATCAGGTTCAAATTACACTCCTCAGTAACTGATTCTAAGGGAGCATGTATACTCCTTGCTCAGAAGAGCAGTATCTGAGATGAAGTAGCAACTAGAAGCTACCGAGGTTTATTGTTGCCATTATATCGTTAGTCACTTTTCTTTTCTTAAAAATTCCATGTTACCTTAATCCCGGGGTACTTTTGTTTAGTTGTATTGCCCAGTTGTCCCGGTTCAGATGCTATCCACCTCTTTCTTCCTTCCTGCACAAAGCTTAATCCAGCTGAGTCCTCCTCTTTGGGGTGGCCATTTTAAACCACCGTTGCAGTCATCTTCGGGGGGAAAAAGACCAAACCCAGGAGGGGAGATGTGGTTCCCCTCAACCTGGCTTGCGGCTTCCCCTTACTCCATCACCCCTCCAAGGCAGCTTCAGCCCCTAATCGTAATGATTGGGGCTCTCCAACGAAAGAGCACGGACAATAGCCGCAGACAGTCGTGATCTACAATCCGTCAGCGAGGAGGCTCTGCCTTCTTCCCCATTTGTCTCCCTCCTTTATGCAGACTCGGTAGTAAGCTTCTCTCAGATCTAGTTTGGTGAAGACCTTGCCTTTTGACAGGTGGTTTAATAAGTCCTTCATGAGGGGAAGAGGGTCCATGTTTTTTACACATATGGCATTTATGCCCCTATAATCAACACATAATGACAACCCGCCATCTTTCTTTTCTTTGAACAGCACTGGGGCGGCCAACCTAGATTTGGCAGGTTCAATGAAGCCTCTGTCCAAATTGTTATCAATGTATTGCCTCAATTCAGTCATTTCAGCTGGTGTCATGGAGTACATCTTTGGTTTTGGCAGTTTTGCCCCAGGTTCTAACTCTATGGCACAATCAGTGGCTCAATGGGGAGGTAAAGCATTGCATTCCTCTTCATCAAATGCTTCAGCCAAGTCTCTGTATTATTTGGGTACTTGGGGAGTACCTGGAAGAGAGTCCGAGGCGGTGGCTGCTTCTTCAGTTTTTGGACCCATGTTGGGCAGTAGTTTCTTAGTGGGAGGAAGGGGGCAGTGGGCCCATCCCAAATATAACTTTTCATATCCATCCTCCCACTTGATGGTAGGGGCCCATTTATCTAGACAAGCAAGTCCCAATATGATGTATTCTGACATTTTTGGAGCCACTATAAAACATATGAGTTCACAGTGACTGTCCATCTGTAGTTTGATTAACTCTGTCATTTGGAAGGCCAGAACTCCCCCTATTAAAGTTCCATCTACTTGTTCAAACCTGATTGGGCATTTCAGGGGTTTTGTTTTTATACCTAATTGTTCACCGGCCTTTGTTGAGAAACCAATCGGTAAGAGAAACCACAGGGTGGAGCTACCAAGATAGAAATATGATAAAGCTCAGAACTTGAGAGCGGCAACCAGCCAAAGTTTCTGGGGTGATGGAGGAGCCTTTCACCGAGGGAGAGTTCTATGCCAAGAATTTTCTTCCCAAAGTTTATCTGGAAACCTATTATAAAGATAACTTGGATGATGATGACCAGATTCTAGCCTTTCTCCTGAATGGGGCCCACAGAGCATTCACCGTAGGTAAGTGCTGACTTCCTCAATTTTAACTCCAAGGTGAGGGATGCTTCTTGATCAGAGATGGTCAGGAGGGGCCAAGAGGCAGATCTCAGTCATGCTTTCATCGTCATAATTCTGCTGACCATAATCTGCGCCACTTAGACTTTCACTTCAGGGTACAAACAGCCATGAAGTGGATGTAGATTACAAAAGGCAGATGCAGACAGATGTGAAAATGAAATGAAAAACAGTTTCTCCAAACTCTTTCAGATGTGTTTATTTCTTCCTGAGAGAGGGGCAAATGAATGGGGTTGGGAACAGGTTCGTGTTAATTCTAAGAAGGAAAGGGGTTGCCAGGTGATCAAGTGGCCTCTAGGATGCTCTTTGAATGGCTTCTGGTGCTTCTGGTGCTTCTGGGGCAGTTCAGATGGGAAAAAAGGCACTAGTGTGCAGAATAGCAGATACAAAGGACCCAAATCAGCTTGAAAAACCCTGTTTCTGGCTTGATGGGTTCCAGATGGCATCAAGGGAGACACCCTCATCGATCTTGGTACCGGCCCAACCATCTACCAGTTCCTCTCTGCTTGTGAGTCC